TCTTACTTCCCTCACTTTTGCCTAATATTTTATCCAAATTTTTTTTAACCGTTAGATTAAGGATTACGAATGTAGCTTACAAATTTCTGTTGGCCAGCACTTTTTAAATGGCTTCAGTAGTGAAGTGAAATACGTGGAAACAATAGTTTATGCTGCAGTTTCTTGATATGTGCCTGTCAGTTGAAGCTGGAAATTGTTCGTGGAGCCGTCTCGGCCATTACGCTCGTATTGCATATCATCAGCAAAGAGTTAATTGCGAAAAAGAGAAACGAATTAGGCACGAAACTAAGGTCTGTTAGATGCGATTGATACATTTCAATATCTGACTTACTTACTACTTTCAAAGTTATTTTCATTTTATCTTCACTGCTGTAGTGAACAGCTTAAAACGTTTTTTCCTCTTAATATTTTCATTATTTTTTCTTATCTTATGTTATATTCCGCAAATATTTCAGTACATTATATTATATATACTATATTATGTTATATTATACTGTGCCTTCCTATTTCCTCTTCTCTTCTTCTTTTTCACTTTATTTTATTTTTCATTTTTCTGTACTTTCTCTCGCTTCAGTTTTCGTTTCTTCTGTTCCATTTTATTTTATTTTAATACATTTTACTTATATATTTATTTTATTTTATTTTATTTTGTTTTATCTTATTTCAATTTATTTTATATCATATTACATCATATTATTTTATTTCATTTTATGTTACTTTATTTTGTTTTGTTTTGTTTCATTCTATTTTACCTTATTCTATCTTTTAATTTGTTTTTCTTTCATAAAATTTTAATTAGCTACTGAAAAGTGAATAAGACCGCTAACAGTGGCAAAAAACTATCATTTTTGTACCATATTTATTGCGCCACAAATCAAAACCAATTATTTTTATAAACATTATGCAAAAAAATTGCATGAAAAAAACACTTTCTTTGCAGACACGTCAAATGATCGCAGTGACGCCGAAAAAAACTATTCCACACGACACACAGTTTATGTCTGTGTTCGGTTATCTACAAATTAAATGCAGTAATGATAATGTCGGTTACTGCAAAGGTTTATCAGACCATAAAGTACTGGAAAGTTGTGAAGAGCAGCTGAGATATGCGACAAACGAAGAATGGTTTAGGCATAAATTATTGAGGTCCAGTCAATGACCTTTGTTGTTGTTTTATCCCTTTTTTTTCAAAAGTACACTAACTGTGCCGATGTCAGTGCCATAGTTAAGTGCCGAACAAAGATAAAATTCCAGCGTAAACAGCAAAATACCACTATAATTTAAAGCTTAAGCTAGTAATCTTTCAGACTCATCAAATGCAGTTTAAGCAAGTTTTGATTTATTCTCAGACAATTTTAAGTCAACCACAACAAACATTTTTTTTTAGACACTTTCATTTTAGGAATCTCTTTCTGACTTCAAAGTCTGCTTATTCTTTGCCTTTTTTCTTTGTTTTTTAAACTCACTGTGAAAGATCAAAGACAGCAGCATAATTCAAAACCGGGAAATAAATGATAATTTATCAGATTGCCAGCAACATACACTAAGTTATTTTAGAAGTTGACATTCTAGCATTCAAAATGAAAATTTTTTCAGATTAAAACTTGATGCTTCTAAAAAATTACTGGGCTTTTCGCAGACAAAACGCAGCCGTGAATGTTCTTCAATTCGGTCAATCTTAAGCGATATTTACGCAATTCACCAGAAATACTGCTACCAGGTAGTTAGTCCTTCGTATTTGACAGTTTTAAACGTCTAAAAAACCACCTAGCACTAGCAATTTTAGATAATCGATGGTAAGCTAAAACCAATAAAAAGCAAAATTAGACTTACATTCAAAAAGAAACCAGAGAAAGTCAAAAGCCATTGAGTTCCGTCAAGTTTTCTAACCAAACTCTTTTAAGAAAATGTCAAGTCGTTAGAAGACCAATAGACACTATGTCACCTGGGAGGTAAACTAAACCTCAAAAAATTTAGAATAATTTTATAATCTTTTTAACCAGTTACTTCTCACCATTTGCTGTACATAATTGTATAGGTCATAATACATAACAGGTCTCACTCATTCCAATCTGAAATTCTGAAGCTACAAGTATAGAGGTAGTCATTAAATGAACTTTTTGGTTTAAAGGCTAAAATCAGAAAGTTTCATTAAACAAGCTTAAATAAAATATTTATTTGAAAATGTTTGGTTGAGCAGTCCCGTCAAAATCAAAATCTGTAATATGGTTACAAAAAATTACAAGTGAAAAATGAGATGTGCAGGATAACGAAATTTTCAAAGTCCATAGTGCCGTCCAAAAATCGTTTTTGGATTGGACTTCACAGGCGTAAAAAGAAAGCCTGTACGCCCTTACTCAGGCAAAACATCCATTCTGAGTCATCTTTAAAAGACTTATCAAGTGAAAAGTCGGAAGTGTGGATGCCCCATAACTTGATTAAACCTTCTTTTGTTTTCTGAAGATCCGTACGTCATAACTAACGCGCGATATATTCCTTTCCTTAACCGATTATCAGTCAAGTGTGGCCCTACAATGAGAACGGTAAAAAGTTGTAATGATGGTCACACGTCAACGACAAACGTAATAATGGTTGAACGTCTTCCACAACTGAGAGCAATTTCTTTATTATTTTTCTGCTGTTACACTGAAGCAATCCGCTGTGAAATCCTTGTGCATGGAAAATGACAGCGGAATCCCGCTCACAAATGCTGGGGATATCGACCGACGAGCTGGTGAAAATAAGGCCAGCAACTGAGAGCAGGCAGAATAAGTACAAACCATATTCTGCCATAGCCATTTTTCTAAAAAGGAAAACCTACAAGATCAGAAGCCGGATCAATTTTTTTTAATCCCCTGTACATAAGTAGTGTAGATTATTATCCCACCAAATTGAGTTTTTCTATTTTACAACAAAAAAAACTCACTAATTATCACTTTTTCATTCCATCTGACATAGTGAATACGAAACTAGTTGTAACATCAAGTCAGACTATTATAAAACTGGTTTAGAAAACTTCTACGGATGCGACACTTTTGTACAATTTTTAGTTTTATTTCAATAATAAACCTAAAACTTTGGTAAGAAAAAAACAAAATAAGCTTTGGCCAAGCGGAAACAGTACAGAACCGCCGGTCGCTTTTTCGACCTACGGCACTAAACGGTTTTGTTCACTAAGCCTGTAGTTTTCTTGCCCTTCCATGAAGTAGTTTTGATGAATGTCTTTTGAGGTTCAACGGGGACAACAGATCGAACGAAGCATTTGTAATACTGTCATTGACTGTGTTTAAGAATTTGTTGCTTATGCCCCACTAAAACACCAGAAGGCAATGTCAATAAAAAATTCAGCTTCCGAAAAAAAAAAATCAAGCCTCAGCAAAGCATAAAGCTACAGCTTGGTTTTACAACGCTGATAATTAAAGAACCTAGTTGACAACTGCGACCCAAGATTATGGCAGTATTTCTTGATGACGTAAATCTGATAGAAGACGTTAAAACACTTAACATTCCAATAATCCACAATAGAGCTTCACAAGCTACCATTGAAAAGTTTGCTAATGTAGCCTAGAAGTCTCTGAGGTTTCAAGTGCTGCGACCCGTTTCTATCTGACTCCATAAAGATTTTTAAACATCATTACGACCACTGCCGTCTTCTATTTGTAGTGTGCTAAACAAGAGCATTTTATTTTTTAATTGAAGGTTTATAACCTAAACTTTCAAAAAACCGCGAACTGTGAGAAAAAAAATTCCTTACTGTTTTTGCACTGTACCGACAATGATGTTCTGTTGCTTATATTGGTTTTACAGTAATTTCCGTTGAAGTTTTTGTTGACATTTTTTGGGCAAGTATATTTCAGATGCACATAACAAGATGCTTCTGCGAAACTTTGAATCTGAAGAAAACTTGCGGCATAGATTGTTTGGCAGTTGATCCATTCTATGAGAAAGGAAGACCGTTAAGCTGGAATGAATTAAAGAAACGATTCTCCGCCTCTGCACCCCGTTTTTCTATAACCACTTCTTGGTTTTTATTGTTAGAGTTAAGCATAGGAGTATTTAGCTAAAATTTTGGGAGTTTTTTCGTTCTTCCTTTAGGAATTCATACAAATACGGGTTATGTAAGATATTAAATACAGGTAAGCGTATTCAACGAATATATTTGAAACTTCAAGAACTGACCGTAAGTTCAAGCGCGACTAAGCAAATGAGCAGAGATAAACTACTGTACGTTGGCTATTTTCTCCTCTCCAACGACGTCTAATTCTGCAACAGACAGTGGGATTTGCTTGGAAATAGACTGCCAGAATAGTTTACTGGTAAACACAACGGTCATTAATTTTTTCATTTCCCAACAAAAAAATTATATAAGATCCTCAGTTTATAGATAAGTATCTTTGAAAATCTGTGTCAGTTTAAGAACCGGGAAAGAGACAGAATCATACAGAAAGCAATAGATTATTACGAATCCCTGTACTTTCCTGATGTAACGAATAACTCAGATAACACAGTATTTTCCGTCATTCAGTATAATATTGATATGACTTAGTTGTTTTTATTATTTTGCCCTTGATTTTCTATAGATATTTTCAAAAATTATTTTTGAAAGATTTCGTACAATATCCATGTTCACTAGTGGAGTAACTGTTAATGATTTATTGTTACCTTACAGTCAACGTCATGACTCTTGTTTCCACGTTAAATGTATTTCCTTTTCATTGATCACTTTACTGAATTTAATGTACCACTACCGATCATAGCAAACCCCGCCAATATGCACTGTTTATATCCAAAGTTTTAACGCTTTTCTTATTCCTAAACCAACAAAACAAACAAAAAAAACTATTCGCAAAAAATGCGTACTAAACAATCTTGTAAAATACATGTGAAACAAGAAAAAGAAAAAAATTGGAATAAAACGATGTGCGAGCAGTAAAGGTAAAGAAAAACGGGGTTACGAGGAGGAAGACGAAATAAATCTATCTAGGACGCAGGTGGTAGGGTATTCCATGTACGGAGAGGCACTGAGATGAAAGCTGTAACAATGCATGTGTAGCGAATAAACGTCGATGCCATGGTAGGCCTAGGGCTCAATGATCAAGTAAACCATGATTTTTGATGTGCATTTGACTGAACTGGATGATGATGCCAACCATGGGAAAGACTTATAGTGAATAAATACTAAGCACTTAAAATAGAAAAAAACTTATGACTGACCCACCTCAGTAGAAAAGAAATTAATTCTGTTCAAACAATAAGCCACAATGAATTATTCTTAGAACATCAAGTTAAACATTCAATGATTATCCTTATCCTTCGTTAAATACATTTTGTTGCATTACATATTAGCTCACCTGAGATGCAAGTTCAGATACCAACTGCTGCTCCATCTTCTGTGAAATTGACGAAACAGAAGACACTTATCAGTTGCTAATAAGCAACTTTTTCTTCCGCAGCATCAACCAGCTGCTGGTCATTCACACTTGCATAAGATTTTACCTGTTAAGCTGCCAATCATCTAACGCCTATAAGTCAGTCGCACTAGCACCTCAATTACTGATGCCTCCAAAAAAAAAAAAAAAAAAAAAAAAAAAAAAAAA